TGTCTTCCTTTTTAAAGCATTTTTTATAACTCTTGAATCTGATGATATTCCTTCCCATCCTAGTAACACGTAAGTGAATTTCATGTCAAAGTCACATGCTGCCATGACATTTTGTGTAGGATAATCTTTCCTTCCACGATATCGTGATGCATCCTCTTTAGACACTTTCACACGAATATGTGTTCCATCAATTGCTCCTACACAATCCTAAAATAAGAATAACCTTAATTTCATATAAAGAAGCATGCATATAGACTACATATAATGTATAGTTAAAATGGTTACCTTACCTTAAAGTATGGGTAGAATCTGGTATTATTTAATATTTGTAGTGGCACCTCAACTCCATTAGGTTGTCGTAGAAATTGACCTTCTAAGGAAATAATCGCTCGTAACACCTCATGAAAATGTCTGCTTATTGTCTCTCCAGAACGGCGAAAGAAGAAAGACATGGTGCGATCTTTCACATTATGTGCTAATAGATATAGAAACTTAGCCACTTGCTCCTCTATTATGGAATTTTTATTATCCTTGAGGCGACCGGATTCCCGAAGTATATCACACAATGAAGCAAATGCAAATGGACTCATTCGTATTACACCTCGACATTTCTCATTGGCACTAAGTTTTTCATGTGTTCGTTCCTTACATTTGCATTATGACTACTAATGTTTCTTAGGCTTTTATCAACATAATTGGAAGCATCATATAATTCCATTATATATAGCTTCTACCATATAACAAACACGTTGGATAGCAGCCATACGTCTCTGTCTTTCCCAACTACTCATAAACTTTGTAATATTTTGTTGATATGTTTGTATGAAATTCTCTTCCAAACTTTCCTCTTCAGCCATCTATTTAGCAGAATTTACTTTCAATAAAAAAAAGTGACTGATAATAATGCAAATTACATAATACATGAGTAGGATAAGTAGCACAACACAATGTTCAAACACTTGTAGCATACCTAAGATAAATAATTGCACATAGACAGAATAAAAATAACACACGCAAATAACGAAAATTAGAAAGTAAAATGAAACTAAGTAGTCAACTTCATCATTGTTTTTGTTTTTTCATCTTTCTTTAAGTTACAAAATTATCAAATCTTGGATAAATAAATGTTTTAGATGTATCTTACCGTTGCAATAAGAATTTTCCTTCAAGACTTCAGCAAGCTTTAGAGCAAACTCTAATGAACACAAAAATAAACCCACAATATAAAAAATTATTGGTAACTTTGGTCTAGAAATCAAGCTAAAAAGGAAATTTTTAATTTACTTTTTTCAAATAATATTGTCGTTCTTTTTTATTATTTTAAGTAACATTATTGTTGTATAGTTAAAAAAAAGGCTCCATTAGAAAATATTAATATGATTGTTATGTGCAATAGCAAAACCAGAGAACTAAAAATTAGTATAAACTTGTTCAAATTTCATCAACTTTATATGAAAACATTAGCAACTCAACTAGGAGGAAACAACATTGAACGATTATTAACCATGGAGGGGGGAAGCTCTTGTTATATTTGCAAATATTGACAGTTCATAACACCATTATATATGTCATTAGCAAATATTACTACAATAATAAAAAAAGAAGACAAAAAAGTCAATCGGCAAAAAGATACCTTTGAATTTATCTTGGCTATTGATGGAGCTCTGGATATTGAAGTTTTCTAGAAGGCAGACATCATACGGAAGAAAGAGAATATCTTATATAAAAGAGGGTTCTCAAAATATCTAGAAGTGTTTAGGAAATTCTTAAATTGACACAGGTCAATTTGGGAATAATAGTCATTTTTTTCTTTAACCCTTTCCAATCCGTCCATTTTTTGAAGGATAAGAATTTGTGGGCCCCAAGGGATTTACAACCCCTTGCTCTTTCCCCTCCTCCCCTCTTTCCATCCTGCCAAACAAGGTTGAATTTCACTTTCAGCTCTTAATCCATCCCTCTACCATTCCTTCCCTCATACCAAACACATCGTAAAAGAGAAAAAAACCATCGCAAAAGCAAATTAAAAAGCATGAAAACCAAGAATATGTTGGCACGAACTGACACCTGTTTATTCTATCTTTTATATATTAGTTTTTTTAGCGCCTGGATACAATCTTATAAAAAATTGTTTTTTTTAAATGAAAAAATTGATTTCACACATAGTATTTTTTTCACAATTTAGTGTTTATTATTTTAAATTTATTTTAGGGATAATATATTTTCATTTACATTAATTTAATTGTGTTATATTTATAAAATAATGTTTTAAATCAATTATAAGTATGCTAGTACGATCTATCAAGAACTTCTAAATTTTTAATTAAAAAAAAAAATAAAAAACAATTCTATTTTTTTAAATGATTGAAGTTAAAAGTACTTAAAATGGTGATTACATTTACTTTTTTCAGTTAAATAAGAATAAAATTACATCTGTATCATGAAAATAAAACTTTATTTTGAAGAACATAAAATTAAATAAAAAACTAATTAGGGTGCAACGTATGGAAAAGAAAAAAAAATGTTTAAGGGTATATGTGAGAATAAATATTTCATTAGGTTTTTTCTTTTCATATATAAAACATATTTAAAAACAAGTGAAATAGAAAATTAATTAGTATGTACAAATGAGAAGTAGAAAAATGTTCGATTAAGAATACCTTTGAGAAAAATTATTTTGATGCGACGAATGAAAATAAAAAATTACTAATATTTTATTTTTTTTACTCCTACTAGAAAAAAAAAAGAATAAACACAAAAACAAAACTATCATGGATTGTGTAGCTATAGATATTTCATATTCGTTGCATTTATTTATCTTCGAGGAAAATGATATTAATAAATTTAAGATTAATTATAAAAATTCCTTTTGAACTATGACTCATGTAAAATTTTATCCATAATCTTTAAAACGTAATACTCGTTCTACCTGAACTATGAATCATTAACAAAAAAACTCCATCTGTTAAAATTTTTAACATATTCAATGGTTTTTTGGTAATCCTCTATATTCTTAGAGAAGATTAATTTTTTAAAAAGTATTAAATCTTAAAAAAAAACTTTTTTTGATTTTAATTTAGATGTAACATAGACTATAAATTATATAAACATTTTTTTAGAATGTTGATGTTTCTAATTTACATGTAATTATAAAAGTACTATAAGTCACGTTAAAAAAAATTTATGAATTTAAAAATGATTAGTATTAACTATTTTTTTGCTCAAAGAGTTTCAATTAATTAATTATAAGAAGAGTAAGATTGAATTTTTTTCTATTATTTTGTTTATTTATTATCTTGTTAAATGAAAATGAAAATATGTTTTTAAGAAATGTAAATTTAAAACTTAATGGTAGAAGAGTATTTTTGCACCAAACTATTTAAAAACAATCAATATATGCGTGATTTTGTTAGAAACTCTAACATAAGGGGATTTTTATTAACGTTTTTCTACTTTAGGAGGAATAGATGTTATGTTTAGGACAAAATGTTACAAGAATCATAATTTTAAGAGGGGAGAGGGGTGGGAAGAAGATTTTTATAATTAACTATATAAATATAATAATAAGGATCAAATATACGAAAAAAGTCAACTATTAAAGTCAAACCGATAACCCTCGCATTACAAATGTGATACTATAACCTATGAGACAAGGGGTCAAATTATATTTAATTGCAACTCTACTTTCTCACAAGATTTCTTTTATATCTATCGAATGCAGTTTGATTTGTTTGTGCATATTAAGAATGTATGTAACATCATAATCTCTCTTGTTTTTTAGAATGACATAACATTCTTTTTCTTTCCTTTTTTTTTTTTTTGGATAGACATTACGCTTTATTAGGTACTTTATAAATTGAATTTTTCGAATCAATTGAACAGTTGTTCGAAGAAAAATGAAACTATGCATGCCACAAAATACTAAAACATACCTATATTTTGTGCAAATAAATAAATATGCGTCTACAAACTTCAATACTTGTCTTGCTTCAAACGGGTACAATTTTTTTTTTTTTAATCTAGAACCATAGTTCATCACACTTGAATATAAATTGTAATAATACAAACTTTAAAACGATACGAAAAAAAATTGAAAATATAGAAATATATGAAACATATAAAAATTACTTTAAACAAAAGAAAATATAATAATTACATGATTCGTTCTTCCTATTCTGTGCAAACACTACGCAAGTGTCTTGGTTTGATGCCGATTTAATAAGCCAATGTATTATGGGCCGGCTTTTGGCCCAAATACGAGTTCGTACTCTACGCAAAAGAGTCCCACATTGGTTTAGTTTGGTAGTAGATTTTGAAAAAATTATTTTTAGCTGTGCTGAAAGAAAAAGTAACTGTTATAAAAAATAATTGAGTGTTTGATAAACTATAATTATAATAACCGTACTGATTCTAAAATCAACGTAATAGTATTTGATAAATTATGAAATTAAATTGTCGTGAATAGTTAAAAATTACAACTATATTATATTATACTATAATATAATATATATAATTATAATATAATATATATTTATTATTATATTTAATATAATAAAAACTATTATTATATAATATATTATATAATTATGATATAGAAAATAATAATAATATTAAAATAATAATGGAAAGAATTAA